ATCCATGCAATGAAGTATTATTCGTTGCTAAAAGGAAATGCGCTGTCAAGCCATAGAAAGACATGGGAGAAACTTGAACGCATATCACCAAGTGAAAGGTCTAAAAAAGGTACACACAATACGATTCCAACTACTTGACACCCTGGAAAAGGCAACACTATGGAGACAGGAAAAAGATGACTAGTTTCCAGAGGCTAGATGGGAGGAAGCCATGGATAGGCAGAGCACAGAGGAATTTCAGGGCAGTGAAACCACTCTGTATTGTACAATAACAGTGGACACATGTATTACATTCGTCCAAATCCACAGAACGTGCAACACAGAGAGAACCCTAATGTAAACTGTGGACGCTGGGCGATGATGATGTGTCACTGTATGTGCATCATTTGTAACAAATGTCCCACTCTGGTGGAGAATGTTGATAGCTAGGGAGGCTATCAACGTGTGGGGGCTGGGATAAATCTGTACCTTTTGCTCAATTTTGCTGTGAGCCTAAAAGAGATGTAAAAATAAACTTTAAAAAACAACTATAAATTTATTTTTTTGGACAGTTATGTGTCAGGGTCCTAAATCTATTTCACAGAGCATACACTTCAGTGGGGAAAGCTGATATGAAACAAATAATCAACGATGCTACAAAAGCAGAAAGCAGGAGGTCTAAACTAGTTTTGGAGTTGGGCAGGGCTATGTTGACCACCAGTAAAAGGAGTATTTTAAGCAACACGTGTGGAAGCCCAGAGGAAGAGAAAATAATTTGAAGAGTTCAAATACTTCCCTAAATGCCAAGAGCTGGCAAAGAAAGAAGAAAATTGGCCATGGAAGAAGCAAGAGAGTTAGGGATAGGCTGGTCACTGAGGGCCTTGTCAGCCCCTACAAGGAGTCTGACATTTTCCTGCGGGCGACAGATAGTTACAGAAACGGTTTTTGTTTGTTTTTTTCGGGGGAATAATAGCATCTTTGGATGTTCAATTTCCTTAGACCCCTAAACTCTTTTTCCCAAATTCCAAAGATGCTTCCTTCAAAGCTAGTTATCATTTTAACTCCTTTATTTTCGTTCCCATGGCCATTTTCTTCTCTTGAGGAGGCTACGCAGTAAATGAGTCGCAAGATCCTGTTTCAGAAGTCCTGCGCAATTTGATAGCAGTATTTCCTCCTGAGTATCTATTACAATATTAGACATTATAAACAACAGACACACACTAGTGTGTTACAAATAGCAATTTTTATACTAGAAAACACCATCATTTAAACTGTATTCCCATTTAATTGACTATGTAATCAGTGCTAATCTGAATTGAAAAAACATACTGCTCTAAAAAATTGGTGCCTTTTTGATCTGTTTTATATGTTGGAGATCACAATTAAATTTCACATGGAAAAAGATCCTATTGCTTTAAAATATTGTAACTCACTGTCCTGGTGGGATTTGCTGCTTTTAGTTTTTCCCATCCTCTAATCAATCTTGCCTGCCACTTACAAATTCATCGATGAAAACAACAGAATGGTCTGAATAAAAATATTTACTTCTCTTTATTCCAACCATTGACTATGTCTAAGCCTCAATCTACCTTTTCAGACAGATTTTACAACAAGAATCTCCTGCTTGAATAAATCAGTTTGTTTTCATCTTTCTTTGTATTTTTTCCTCATCCTGGTGCATTTATTTTTAAGAACAAACTTATTTGCAGTAAGCTGTACTCCTCCAATTTTACCTATCTTAATCTTATAAATCCTTCAAGCCACAGGCTAAATCCCTTGTCTTGTATGAAGATTTCCTTGATGAGGCCAACCAGCTCTCATACATTACTCTTCTGAACTTGCACTGACAATATATTAGCACATTTTTTTGAAAATTGATTGTATACAGTCTTATGTCATTTTCAGTGTTGGTTTCTGTAACTGTTGACTAATTTATTTTAGTATTTAACTTTTCACATGTTTATAATACCTTTTCCTCAAGTGCATTACAGTTATGACATTGAACTGTTCTTGTTTTGTTACATCTAATATAACACCTTAAAAAGAGCAAGTCATAAGTGTATGTAGTGATTTGATTTGAAAACACACAAATCATTCCACTAATTAGAATGCTTTGGGTTTTTTTCATAATGTATTTATCTGACTTAAGCCACATTATTAAGTTAAACAGAAATACATAAGAGGAGGCTAATCAAGAGAACTGTCAATTTTCAATATGAAATGTGCTTGCTTCATAACCAGATATAATTAAATTTACTTTGTAAATCTTACTACAAAAGAGTCCTTTTTTTTTTTTTTGCCAAAAAGTAATAGGAGCACTTTCCTTACTTACACTTGTTCGTTGCCAAGGATATCATACCTTGGAAAAAAGAAACAAAATGTTTACATATTCAATTTTTCAAATGGAAATAGTCTATTATAATTTCCTAAGATTTTTCTGAAACCTCACAGGTGGTAAGATATCCTTACTTTTGAAAATCTAATGGGTATATACACATGAAATGAAAATTCACAGAGAATATATTAGAAGAAATATGTGTTACATGCATCATGTGCTAAGAAAACATAAGAAAAATTATAATTTGGTGCACTCAATTCATTTTTACTAATCAAATAATGTCAGGCCAAGGAGAGCCTAACTATATAAATATTGTTTTTGACATCAGTCAGATACATTGCTTAATGCATTAATTAACTAAAACATATTTCATTAGCTATTGTCATTAACTAGAATTAATGCTATCACTTTTTTTTTTTTTTTTGAGACGGAATCTGGCTCTGCGGCCCAGGCTGGAGTGAGCGGCGCCATCTTGGCTCCCTGCAAGCTCCGCCCCCCGGGTTCCCGCCATTCTCCTGCCTCAGCCTCCCGAGGAGCTGGGACCACAGGCGCCGCCACCGCGCCCGGCTAGTTTTTGTGTTTTTAGTAGAGACGGGGTTTCACCGTGTTCGCCAGGATGGTCTCGATTTCTTGACCTTGTGATCCACCTGCCTCGGCCTCCCAAAGTGCTGGGATTACAGGCGGGAGCCACCGTGCCCAGCCAATTGTCACCAATTTTTCTGTGTCTTTTTTTTTTTTTTTTTTGTAAATATAATTTAGAACAGGAAGGAGCAAATTCTTTACCCCTTCGGGGATAGCGAAGCTAAAAAGTGTCCACAGATCCGTCTACTTACCATGTGCCAAAAGAGGAAAAATGGAAAAAGAGATAAAAGAAAAGACTAAAAGAACCTGAAAGAATAAATGAAGGAAAGTTGGGGCACGGAGTGTATCATATGAAGGAGAAGAATGGTCTGTTATCTCTACGGTGTTCATGTCTTAATCCATTGCAAGCAACAAATACTTAGGTTTCATGCAGTTACCGAAGACGGATAAGAAAGTAACAGATGACACTATAAATTTTATGAAGTGTAGCTCTGTTTATCTAGTTTCCTTCACATTTTACAGATACACATCTTATTTGAGTGAGAGAATTTCAACTTTTTCTTGTAGTAACATTGAAAAAGACTGTGAAAATGCTGCTAATGCCAAACCAAAGATCTTTTGATCAACCTTTCTGGGAGAAGGTTTTGTTCTCTGACTTATTGTCAGTGAACTATGAGGCATCATATTATTTGTCTTGCCTGGTGAATAATGATAAAGATGACAACAAATCAATGTTGCATGTGAATGAACCTGTAAAAGGCCAGACACAAATACCAAATTACTAATAAAAACACAATAAAGTTCAACACTGGCAGAAGCTTGCCAATCTCCAATTGCAGTAGCAAAGAAAAGCCCCACTTTTCAATTTAATTACCATTGAATTCTTCCTAGAATCATATGACTATAATAAAATGCACTGTATTTATAGTTAGGGATTAATACATTTTGACATATTTTTGTCAAGCTGAGAGAAGCATATTGAAGGGATAAAGCATTGCCTTCATTGCTATATTAGTGAATTAACAAATAATTTTCTTCTTTGGGTAGCTGGTAACTTTTGATATTCTGACACTTTTTATTTTATTTTGATATTTATTTTGATATTGTGGGGAAAGGCTTAGAATGAAAACTGATGATAGCTAAGCTTTTTAGAAATAATACTAAATATTGTAACAAAAAACTAGAGACAATATTTTCAAGGTGATGATTACCATTAGCTAGGTATATCTCCTAAATACTTACCTTTCCTCCATCCCATTGCCATTGCTTTGTTTTATTCCCGTATCATTTACATGATATTAGCCATTCTACTGTGATATTCCATGCTTTATCTACCTGCCCCAGCCTCACATCCTCCAATCCATCATCTATACTCAAACATCAGAACTCCAATGTGACATACAAAGCTTCACAATTGGCTTCAAAACATCTTCTTAGATTATCTCCTACCCTACGCAGTTTTCAAACTCAACAAGCCTCATACATCAGTGACAAATTGATAAAGGACACAGACAAGCAATGAAGTGCAACATGAGGAGTACTACAATAGAGCAGCAAGCATTAGGAATAACAAAAACACGCAGGCAAATAACCTTCCCTAAAAGAGGGCGGGAATTCAGAAGGAGGACTAACGGGGCTCTTTGCTATTTCCTGTTTTCTCGTCTTTCATTGTATTATATTTATAGTCTTTTTTTTTTTTTCTTTTTTTGGTCTTTCGCCAGGGAAATTTGTCTCCATTCGCACAGAAAATCACAACAATAGTAAAATTTTGTTATTGCTGTTGACTAACAATCTATTCTAATGCTAGACCACTTTTGGACAGAGACATTTTCTTGTTATCTTTGTCCTTATTTTTGGCTCCGTGCCTGGCATCCAGCAGCCACCAAATGTTTTTCTATTATTCGTGAATAAATGATTCTAGATTCACCTCAAAACTTTACTTCTACAAGCTTTTCCCAGGTTTCCCTGGTATATATAATTGCCCCTTTCTGTAGGGAAATTATTAGTTCATCCACATTGCTCAGCTAGTGCTTATCACACAAAATTGTGTTTGTGTGTGTGCATGTGTGTGTGTCAGGAGCAAGACAGTGTTTAGTGTCTGGTCTCTAATAAGTATCAGGAGCAAAAAAAGAAGTTTTCATATTTTGTATATCAAGAAAAGCTTAAATCTGAATTATGAAGGCTCTAAATTACAGAAAAATTTTCTAGAAGATCAATTTTGAAGATTTATTTTGTGAATTACTTAATATTATGAACAGTAGAATACTGTACTGTGTTCAATAATCTTTCTTTTTCAGTATCATATGGCTCACCAATTAGAAAACATAAAAGTATAAAGAATACATCAAAAAATGGACAAAATCATGCCAAAATCTATTAATTTGTATTTGTTTTTATATTAACTTTAAATATGTGTTTTTATTATAAACAATTAAATAATAATTTTCAAGGGTTAGCCTTTTAAAAACTGAACTCAAAAAATAATGAAATTGAATTTTGTTGTCAATATTACTGACTAAGATCTAACCACTATTTTTAGTAAGAATTATAACTTTTTTTAAGCAAATACTAGGTATTTAAGACAAACAAAAACTTGAAGGTAAGTGACTCAAAAAAACATATACATAAACATAAAGTTTCCAAATATGTAGAAACAATTTTGTGTTTTATATCTTAATTATACTGAAAATAATTTGTGTTAAATCATAAAAATTTGTTTCATCTATTATTTCATGAATATTTCCAATTCCACTGCAAGATAATAAAATAAAGTGAGAAGTTTAGCATTGATTTTGAATTAATTAGTTTTATTGCAGGGGGTTACAGAAATTACTATAGTCTATGTATTATTTAGTAGACTCAATGGAAAAAAAATCCTCCAAATTATCCACAGTTTTCATGTTATATGAGTTCAAGACTTTATGCATATGAAGCTTAACAGCACTACTTTCTCTTCCCATTTTACAAGTCCCCATTTCTGTATTCTCTGACTTCAGCTTTTAAAATGCAGATTTCTAAGCTCTGTAATAATCTTTTCTTGTGGAATATACAGCTTTGGTTTTTCTTTGTTTACGATTCATGTGACACTGACACATTTATAACATTAATACAAATTAAGATCATCTATAGAATTTTATTTTTAAGTTAGAGAAAGAGGACACAGAATATGCTTTTAGTTTCCCATTTCAAATGTGAACTTAAAAGAATTAAAATAACAATATATGCATATATGATAAGTGCTACAATCTCAGCGAGACAAATGAAGGCTTTTGGAGGGAGAGGAAGACATAGACAAAAAATATTAGTGTGTGTGTGTATACATATATACACTGCATATATAGAGCATATATGTATATATATGTTATTTACCAAAATGCAAATGATATCATTAAAGGAAGCTAATGTTATGACATAGAAAATTCTAGTTAGAAAAATTAATCTGAAGACCTCAAAGACAAGAGTTATGTACAAATAAAAGAGGATGAAGAAACAATGTATGAGCATGTATATGAGATTTTTTAAAGCAAGACAAAAAAAAAAGCCATTATAGAAATGAATGGATTTATTTTAATGTCTAAATATTTCTAAGTAAAAAAAAAAATCCTGCAAAAAGGAAAACTGCTTTTATCTATATTTTTAGCTACATAAAGGCCCAGTCAAAATAAACAGTGACCTGGGAATTATAAGAAAGACAAAACATTCAGAATTATTAAACTGGAAAAGGAAACAGTATGATTTTTTGACCAGTGTTTTTTTTCTTTTTTTGATTTAGAGGATAAAAAGTATCAGTGTCTTTGTATTTAAAATCAATTAAGGCTTAAACTAACAGAGGAAAACCCACTCTTGTGAGACATTTGGGAAAGAATAAGGAAACTGGTCACATTTAAAGGCCCTCGAAGAAAATGCTGTAACTTAAAAAGGTTTCATTACAGAGTGTGCATTGGCTCTATGATTGTTCTGGCCCCTAAATTCCCATCAGAGCTGATGATTAAAGTTCTACCCACTGGCCAGGTCCCTACAATTATCCCATTGTGATGGAGCTCTACAGTGGCGCCCTGCTATGGCCAGACATCAAGTCATTAGAGAACTGCAAGGGATGATGAAGAAGGTTATTTTAATTCCCTTTTCAGCCCTTCTCAGGAGTGGCTCTTTAGTTCACAGAGCTGTGGGTACTTGCTTTCAAACTAACAAGCAATATTATAAATGGAGGCTGCATTATCATGATTGCAGACAATCTAAGGCACTTGAAGGCCAAGGATTCTCCGTCCTCAATATGTGCTGTTTTGTATTTACCAGCTAAAAATATATAGACAGCGCAAACAGTAAAAGAGGGGAAAATGCAGTGAACATGGTGGTGGGGGCCAAAGGAAACAGTAAGAGAACATAAGATGATGGCAAAAATGAACAACAGAGACGAGAGGAGAGCCCTGGCCATTTTGTTAGTATATAAAATATCTTTACCCATTTTCTTGTTGTTCTGCCGCATAGTGTTCCAGCTCTGTACCAGGAAGGGGCTGCACTGGGGGAGGAGGTAGAGGGACATTGGCCCAAGTGGATCCATTGTTTTTCTGTGGTTTAGAAGAGTTTTTATTTTTCTTCTTTTTTCCACCTTTCCCACCTGAAAGTAATAACGTATTTATTCAGAGATGCCAAATAGCAGAATAAATAGAATACATCAGACACCAAGATGTATTTATGTTTCAAAACACCAGAATCAGTATGTTGGAGTTGTTAAAAGCTATAAACAATGAAATGATATAATCAGAAAAACATTTTTATAAATCACTCAAAATGATACTTTTTTTTTTTCCCAGTGCATTAACAGCAGAGCCGAATAAACCAAAAACATGGCTGCTGTATCAAAAGCATGCTTATTGATTTATTCACATCTGCTGCCTTCACATTTTCATTGTTAGAGGAAATAATGGGCCACAACAAATTCTTTTAAATGTCAAATTTTAGTACACTTATAATGCTCTTTTGCATAATCTCTCTCAGTGGAAAATGCAAGGTGTAAGGATCTAGGCTAAACTCTTCCTTTAGAATGTATTCAATTTAATTAATCAAGGAAGGGTACCAATTTTTATCTCGAAAGTAACTGATAAAAATCAATCAGCTACAATCGAGAAAATACCTGTAAATACTTTCCGAAGATACATTTTATAGACTTTTTAACTAATGAGCGGCACAATTATTTTTGCATATGTGAATAGTTCTTAGCTATTTTAAGCATAACATGACATAACATTCCAAAAAGGAAGAAAAATTAATACAGTAATCAGTTTCAGTAGCATTGCATTACGAATGAATTCATGCGCAAAACATGAGAAGAAAGTAAGTTGGCAGCATATGAGCCATATCTAGGATTACATGGAGCTTAATGAAATATAAAAAATATAATTTATCATTTGGACAGTGCCATGGTTTTTACTCTTCAAAAATTAAGTAGATAAAGCTTCCTCCTTAAAAGTGGACCACAGTGAGATGAGGAATGAGTATTTCTTGGAGCAGAATAACGAAGGAGGTTTCAGGGGACATTATATAACTTCCGTGACTCCCACCACAGCCTACAGCAATATCTGCCAAAAACCTTACTGATCCTTTGGACTTCATCTTTCTGGAACCACAAGTTGTGAGCAAAAACCATGTGAAGCAGGGCTATTTAGCAATATATTATAGTATCACTAGAAGCCTACTTGTCTCCTTACTTCTACCAATTATTCATGTGCATCAGCCATATCGAATATTATGTAATTTAACAGGAACATATTTGAGCACCAGGAAGTGATAAAACTGTTAAACTAGATATATACTTTATTGCCAGTTATAAAATTGTGTATGTTTTCCACATAGCATGTGCACCTTCGCACACATTTCGAAGAACATCCCTGCACACAAATTGCTTTCACCTTGACTTTTATTGTACTTGTTTGGTAGAATAAAAGATTTTAAGAGGAAGGAGAGCAGATATCTTCTGCTTAGAGGATAAGGTTTCGCATCTGGGTTTACAGACCAGCTTCCCACTTACTGGATAAGTTACTCAATAGTTACTGCCTACATTTTGGCACATGTAAAACAGATATTGAGTTACTACTTCTTTGAGTTACTTTGAGAATTACAAGAGACAATGCGTATCAACTACTCAGAATGGACAGAACTTTCAATAAATGCCACTCATTTGTGTTCTTTCTTTCCCAGATCCTCTATCTTAGAGCAAACCCAGCTCCTCTTATTTCTAAAGCTTTCTTTATTCGCAACTTCTCCAGGCCCCATGAGTATCCCACGAACAGCCTGACTCTCAGAATAAGAATAAACTTGCTTGAATATAAATCTGTATTGTTTGTCTTTAAGGTAGATGAACCTTAATCCTTTGTTTCCTGATGAGTCAGCAAAATTACAACACAGGAACCATTTCTTCTGTTGTAGTATCAGAACTCTATTTCAATGATTAAAAGGGGACTAGATTGGGCTACTTGTCTTCCATAGCTTTCTCTCTAGTTGCACCTCCTTTATTCCTTATTTATTTAAAAATATACAGCACCTTTCGTTTTCCATAGTACTTTCAGAAATGTTAGGTGGTCACCACCAGAACTGAGTAACAGAAACAGACAAGTTCGTGCATCTCCGTTTTATCAATGAAGCAATTGAGGTTCATTCTGAGTGTCACATGGTCCATATTCACCCAGTAAAAGAAAAATCAGAATTCAGAGTGCAGCAGCTTTCTTTACTGGAAATTACTACTTCTAGAGCCCTGAATTCTGCGGAAGTCATTGTCCAAAGTTCAAGAAAGCCATTCATTACCTACTCTTCCAAACAGACTTAAAAATGTATTTTGGAAACGGGCGATTGACAGAAGACGTGTGAGGGCTTTCTATCCAACGATCACTTTCTCTTCTTTTGAGGCGCTTTCTGCTCTCTCATTATGGGCGGTGCATGCAGGATTACAAATCAACACACCTGACCTCTTTCAGCCGTACGCAGTGGCAGGTTCACAGCATGGTGGAGAGCATACGACAGAACCACAGCCACTTATGCATTCTCTGAGATCTGAACCTCGAGTGAAGTAAGCCACAGTCTGTTGCTGTTACTTGCAAACAAAGAACCTTCAATCATTTTAAGGTGGGAATTGCCTATATTATCTTTTAAGGGAGTGTATTTTAATGACTATTGATTTGTGTATATATTAATATATATGTATATATACACTTTTTTCCCCTTGAGACAGGGTCTCACTATGTCACCCAGGTGGAGTGCAGTGGTGCAATCACATCCACTGCAGCCTCAACCTCTCAGGCTCAAGCATCCTTCTACCCCAGCCTCTCAAGTACCTGGGAATACAGTCAAGTGCCACCATGCTTGACTAATTTTTGTATTTTTTTTTTAGAGATGGGGTTTCACCATGTTGCCCAGGCTGGTGATTTCATATTTTTAATGGTTAGATTTTTAATGGAAGTGCTCAGAACTTATGTGTTGAATAATATTAAGTGTTTCAAAGAGGGTGACACGCTCACTCAAATAATTCAGAAATGTCCACTTTTATCACTGTGATTATTTTAAATTGCTTACATTGCTATGCACAAATTAGGAAAATCTTATAATACCATCTGACTAGCTCTCCACAGGGTGGTTTGATCTTAAATTTAAGTCTTAGGAAACACACCTGTGATTATAAGCATAAGACAAAACCCTAATATTAAACTCAATTGAGCTAAACTAAAAAGAGAATAATCACTTCACTCTCACCTACTAAAGAACGCTTTCTATCATCGATTTAAGTAATTTTGTATTCAAATGTAGATGAAGTAGTTAATATAATTCATAGATATATATAAATGTCACTCAGGAGATTAATGGATTTGAAAAAGCACTAAGCACTATTGTGAACTGTATTCTGCTTACAATCACTCAAAAGACAACTTTTACAACTTGGTGGTAGCAATCAACACATATAGAATACTTAACCAAAGAAAGATTTTTAAAAGTCTTATGTAATCCATGGATTATAGTATATAGATTTATTTTTATGTACTGCATGTGACTTTGCATATCTTTAATGAAATAAAAAGGAAGCCCAAGATAAATTACTTTTTAATTATTCAGAACAATTGTGAGACTTATTATGAATAAATGGCAGTCTAAATGACATATAAGGTCATTACAAAAGTTCTCCTATATTATCAAACCCGTTTAAATTCATAACAGATGTTTAAAATTTTCTGGATTCTATAATATAGCTAATTCTACCAATAGGCAAGAAGAGCAAATGACCCATTTTGAAGGGAAGAAGGAGCATTAACATTTTCAGACTGAAAGGGTTCCATCTCCTGAGGAAAAGTAATTTAGAAAATGTTACCCTAATGATGTGAAAAGTTTAACTCTTTATGGCTTTGATGCCTGGTAGCCTGTGGCATGCCATAATACACTATAGTCTTTTACAAATAACCTGTAATTAAAAAATAAAACAAAATCTCAGTACAAACAAATAGCATATAGTTAATTCAAACAAATTAGACAAGTGGGGTCATGGAATAAATTAGAAATGCACAAAGTCATCAGCCATACAATGTAAATGTCATGGTTGAAAGTTAGAGTGTGTCTACTACAACCTCCTCATTTTACAGGTAAGGATCTTTGGGCCAGGAAAATTTCACACGTAAGTCATTACAATAGGTATATATTTTTGTCCAGTAAAGGTGTTTCTTTCCATTTGTGCTATATGATACCAACATTATAGATTGTCAGTTTATCTGCTATATCTCAAATACATATTAAAATTTATACCATAAAAGAATTATCAATAGCAAAGATTGTATGATTTTTTGGAAATTAAACATTAATTTCCCCTATTAACTTTCTTGTACAGTGCAGTAGAATACCATTCAATAGATAACAAATCCTATTAGATGGTATTTGGAAATCGTGTCCAAAAACAGGAGGTCACATCAATGAAATACTAATATTATGAAGCACTCCAAAATCATTTTCATTTGAGTTCATCTTTTGGTATCTATAACATGGAATTGACTTTCATGTATGATCTTTTTATCACAAAATTCTCTTTACTCTGTTCTTTAATGAATGGTATTTAGTAGAATGGCATAATTTTTCTTTAAATATATCCTCATAGGGTTAGTATATAAAAGGGGACAGTGATTTTTCTCTTCCCTTTTATCCCACCAAGGCATGATTTCATTAGCATAAACTGTTGTCATTTGACAGATAAATGCCTGACAGTGAGCTGTGATTCAGTATATCTTCATGGTTGTTAGGAACACAGGTCATATGCTGGTGACAAACAAATATTTCTCCTTACTGTGATGAGACCAACCTGAGAGACTGCCACTCCTTTCTGAGCTGTTGTGAGAGCTGGTGGTGCTGAAATCCTGAGACTGGTTGTGTGGCATTCTATTAGACAATCCCTCAGCCAATCGGTAGTCAGGAATGTAAAGTAAGGCTAAGGGTTAAAGGGCAGAGGTCATAGTGGCATCATGTGATTAGTTCACAGCACAAGCCCATGCAGAACATGCAGTTAGCAACTCAGAAGCAGATGTGGGGGAGTGGAGGAATGTTTTGTCTACCCTGTCCTAATGAAAGTAGAGATGGATTGTTGATCATTATGTTGAAAAAGAGCTAAAAGATGAAACCGATTGGCACTGGTGTGTGGTGGAGGTGGCGGTGGTGGTGGCGGAGGTGGTGGTGGTGGTGGTGGTGGTGGCGGTGGTGGTGGTGGTAGGAATTATTCAAGTTACTGGAAACATGCCGGTATCTTTTTTTTAGTTTAGGTGGTAAACCTGGTAATGAATCACTAAGTCGAACAACAAATACTACTTTCTATGTCATGCACAAATGATATGAAAATAACTCCTCAGGAAACGAAAACCTGACTCACCGTTGTTACCTTTGTTCTGATCAGGTAGAGAATAACCGAATCCCATCAGATCTGTTTTTTGCTGAATTGAGCTTTTCCACTGTGGATCAGGCAGATCGACAGCCAATTCATGTATGCTGTTGGAATGCAAGATCTGCGTCGTGGCATATGGGGTGGCCTGTGTTATCTGGCTGGAACTGTTGTAAGTGGTTTTGGTGGTGAAGTCAATGCTGCTGTAAATGGCTCCATCCGAGAGCATCGTTGCTGTTTTATCCCCTTGGCCTGGAACTGGCGGCAGCACATCTGTGGTGAGGTGAACATAGGGAAACGAAACAATTTAACAAGGCACCGGAAGCCCAAACAATCAGGATTGAAGATGAAAAATAAGTGTGTCGCACTGCACGTTTGCATTTCAGCTGAGATGGGCTTCATGAGCCACTGAAGGGTAGATGATGTACAACCATCGCCAAGCTATCAGCCTCAGTGACAGGCAGGCCTACTGCTCGCCCTTCACGTCTCACTGCTTAAAACACCCTTCCCCCCGTTTTCTTTAACCATGAATGAGACGGTTGGCATACTTCACTACTGAAAACTGCTTTCAGTTGTTCACTCTGTGTTAGAGCCAAGGAAAGCGTTAGCACTTTACAGTAGCAATGATAGCGAATCCACAACCCACAGATGAAAACCATCTCTTTATCCCAAGAGACGTGGACGACAACGGCTGAATATATGCTAACATTTCCCAAATTATACCCCACTGACTATCGAGTACATTTTTTGAAGTTATAACTTGCCACTTATGGTGTGATTTCATTGCTCCAGATATGGAGAATGCATTCTTTTTTCTTGAATAACAAAGGAAAATTTTCATGTATAAGTCATTTTCACAATATAGCAGAATTTAACTATAGAAAAAGCAGTCTCCGTGATCGGTGACTTTAATTTATGCTATCAACTCCGAACTAGAGAATTACTGTTTCATGTTGTAATACAGCTAGAGTAAAATTAAACTTCAGGAACAACACTGAATATCAATCAGTCCATTTTTCATTCTGGTAGGCTGAATTATTTTTACATGATGCTTTACAATTCAGAACCGCCGCCTCTCTCCTGAGCTCCTATTTTCCCTTTTTGGAAGAAAGATACCGAGTGAATCTAAAATAGAAATCACTAAATAACACTATTTTTAATCATGCAGAGTTAAAATGAATCTAATTATTATATAGTACATTTTAAAATAAACTATCTTCTGAAAGCTTCATTTCATGGGACTTGAGGTCATGAAATCACTTCATTCTTTCATTATAGGACATTTTCAACTATCTTAACACTTTTAGATTAGCTGATGCTCAATAGTACCTGAAATAACAATTCTTACAGAAATATTACTTTTGCTTTTGAATTTCACCTAAGCTAAAAACTGTCTAGCAACTGTAGAAAGAAATGTATACTATTTTTTACACTGTATAACTTAAATCTTTATGAAGGTTTTGAAGTTTGGAACTTGTTTTACAATTGAGTGGATATGTACTTAAGATATTGAAGTAAGTATCTTAAATGTGTATCAGTGAAATTGTTAAACATATTTAAACTTATAATATTTCACCAGGCTGTATGAGCAAATAACATTATTTTTGAATTTCAGAACTTCACAACTACTTTCTTGCCCTTCTTTCTTTGAGCTATGTACTAATTACAAACTTTGATGTTAAGCATATTGCATTCTCAAGTGTTAATATTATTTTTATTTCTCAAAAACTTTTAAGATGTAGTATATCCAAATTGGTGAAAATAGATCCTTCACTCTGGGTGATTTTTCAGACTTTTGTTTCTGCTGCTTCCACCATGTCCTTCACTGATGAATATTAAGTGAATATACATGATTCTCCAACGTGGGCTCCAATTTCACACACTTTGAATTTAAAGTTCTTCAAAGCTTTAGATGTGGATTGCAAGCCATTTCAATGGCAAGCTTTTCAAATGACTGTGTGCTCAAATGTTAAACAATGAAGAAAAGCGGTCCAAGAATCTAATCCCACATAATATTGCTATACAACTAATGCTATGGCTCTGGAAATTGAATCTCTCCTCTCCCTGCTAGATAAAATTATAGTCAGCCTTCAAGTCTAAGTGCTTCTGTATTGATTTTTAGGCTGCATATTATCTTCAGATATGATTTGATCATCCCTACATTTTCAAAAAATAAACTGAATTATATTCTAACATCGAAATATTGGAATATTGTACATGAATATTTGGATGCTAAGGAGAGTCCTGTAATATCAGATGATTTGGAACTCTGGGCTGGCCTTCCTCCCAAAAGCCTAGACCTAAATAGGTGATGCCATCTTTAGCAGGTCTTTTTTCCATTTCCATTTATCGCAGTCCCCACCTACCAATCCTTAATGTTTTAGACTGTCTGACTAGGGCTTGTTAACACTTGTGTTTGAAACCTGTGAGTTATACAAAGCCTTCCTCCACTGGGAGTTGGTAATGCATTCTGTAGTTTTTCAGCACCCTGGTTATACTTGTACTCACATTTATTTCCTTTTGTTTTATATAATGATCTGTATGAATGACTGTCTCCTTCACTGCATCATAAAGTCACTTGAAGACAGGAGCATATGGGATTTATGTCTGCATTTTCATAATTGCTCACCCAGTGTTTTGAAGAGAGTAAGCACTTGCTGACTTGAATGATTAAATAAATTTTTTATGGTTTGCTTTGATAAAATGTAGATTTATGCTATAATTAGTAACTTTATTATTCTAAGCACTATTTTTATTACATTCAAACATGTATTGTCATTTCATTCTTAAAGGGGAAATGTCAGTATCCATCCTTATTCTTCTAAGTGAATATGGTTATATAGTCATACATGTGAATCCACCTTTACAACAGAAAGCAGAGTTTTCTACAACCAGATGTCAAATTATTTATCTTGAGGAATCTTAGTTTATTGATCCTTAACATGGAAATATGATTATCTATTTCATACATTACTATGCAAGTAAAATGAATTAAAATATACAAAAAAATTTTAACAGTATTTCTGGCACAGAGTAAATGCTTAAAATGACTCTCACATGGATAAGGGACACAGGCAACCCTACAAAAATGTTGTCTTGGCCTTGCTGTTCATCTATGAGATATTTCACATTGTGAAAATGGAAGAAAGACCTTGCATATCTCCAAGTGTACCCTTTTGTGAAATTTGACTGAGACATTTTAGATGCCAAGTTAGCCTTGTGGAAACTGAAAATTCATTTTCTCCATCTGTAAGCATTTCCTTCTTGATAAAACAGTAGCATGTCATATTATTTCAATAAAAATACAAGCGGTAAAAGAGGCAGTTATTCCTTGATTGATAACAGCTGTGGGAAGAGAATTCCTTTTGACAAAATCAGTCTACACAGCAGGGGAGGGACATTTTTGTTTCCTGATGAGCAGGTGCTCAGGCACAGAAACTACCCATGGCAAAGTGATAGCCTACAGTTGACCACAGTCAGGTCACTTAGGGGAGGAAGCTACTACTGGAGTCTCTGGGCAAATGAGAGTCCTAAGTGGGGTGTGTTGGCTGACAGAAATGGAAGAGGAAGCTGAGGAGTCACATAACTTACTTTCCATTCTCTCACTCCACTGATGCCTGGTCATTGATGGTACGCCAAACTTTGTGCTAAATATATATATATATATATTCCCCTTCTCATAGTTGGTACTGACAGAATGCAGAGTTATGCAATAATTAGTAGCTTCATTATTTGAAATGCAATTTTAAATGTAGTCAAACATAGTGGTAATCCATTCTTAAAGAGAAAAATGCTATGACTATTCTTCTCAGTTCTCAGTCAATCTGGTTATATACTCATGCATATGAAATCAACCCATCGAGGCTTATAATGGACTCAGAAAAATTTAACAGAGCCCTGAGCCTCCTTCATTAATTCTAAAAGTCCTGAAATCTTACAGCGAATTCATACAGCTTTACTTGGATCACAGCACTATTCTAATTAATCACTCCAATTTTCTACTGTTACTCCATTCTTCATCCAGCAGCAGGCTGGATGACTTAAAACAGTACTTGGATCCTAGCATTCTCCTGTTAAAAATCCATCAACGGCTTGTGATAACCCTCTGAACGAAGCCTAAACTCTTTATGTGACTTAAAAGGTCCTTTGTTAGCTATCCTTCTATGTTTCTTACCATTTCTGCTTCCTCGTACTTTATACTCAAGTCATTAGGAAATTCCTGCATTTCTCAAGTAGGTCAATGTCTCTTTTATTTCTGGAACTTAAAATAGAGCAATTTCTTTTCTACACACTTTTTTTTTTCATACTTTTGACTCATTTTTAAGCTTGCTTCAGGTATCAACTTAAATAATACTCTGTTCATAGAGCTTTCTTACTCCCAATTGGTAGACATTCCATGTGGGGTTCTGGCAAGGCAGTTTAAGTATATTTAATGTCTGTATAATCTTCCACCAATGGAAAACTCACATGAACCTGCCAAGCCACACTGAGATCAGAGAGCTCCCTACTCCTCTCATCATTCTCTAAACCAAGCTCTCTCGTATTGACTGGATGACAAGGTGAAGGCAGGGGAAGGTGGTAGTTTTTTACAGAAGGTTACTTCTGTCTCCTTACAAACCCACAGGGAGAGGACTCTGACACCAAATTTTGAAGGCTTTAGCATGTCATCCACTTTACAGTACTTTTTTTTGTGTTTTTTTCTTTTTTTTGGATACTAGTTATTAATTGTGGAACTACAGAAAAGTTCTCTCTCAAGATGTTATATTGACTTAATTGTCTATTTCTTACATGACATATTATATGAGGGCAAGGACCATCTTTTTTATATCAATATTAGATTCTATGGTCTTCCATAGTGCCAAGTACACAGGAGATGCTCAATAAATACATGTTAAATGAGAAAGAGAAGGGAAACCTCTAGTCCAAAACCATAAGCCCTAGTTAGCAAAATAGTTTCTGAGTTCAGTAATCTTGTACTAGTAATCCTGCAAACAAATATATTATAAATATTTATCATCTTGGTTAGTAATAGCTTCCTTAAAAGTTTGGTTTTACTCAAGGTAATAAAGACAAAATAGTTTCACATTAAAATATTTAGCAAATGTACAGCACTGTTGGTGCATATGTTTCATTAACTTTAATTATGGGAGTAAATATTCTCTGATATGTCTCTTTAAAAAAAATCCAGGAAGGTCAAAAAAAGAGAGAGAGAACTCAAATAACGTTATTTATAAAACACAACTTACCTCCACGGCCAAAATTTCCAATATCATTTGGGCCACTATTACTATTATTTACTGGCAAGCTTGTGGCTGGCCAAGAATCAGCAAGCCATGGATAGCTGGGATCACCAGCATTTAGAAGACCTGGACGGCTAAAACAGAGATTACAAGGAAATCAATGCATGGAGCTCAGTGCAAGATTTTGACGCCCATCTCATGCAATATAAAGGGTTAAGAAATCGAAGATATTAATTGACTTCAAATTAATATATGTAGACTCCCTAGAATTAAATAACTCCAGCAATTCATTAAGGCTATACATAGATTAACAGTGGACACAGGGAGTCCTTGCCCGGGATTCTGTCCATGTCCAGATGAATTCAGGTGTCTGCCCTGAAACTGGTAGGAATCAATAACATACTAGGATCCCAAAACAAGGTTTGATGATAAATTGGCACCTCAAGGGAACAACTGCTCAAAGTGACTTCTCTATGTCAGCCATTTCTAAAACTTTGGGCTATTCCTTCCTCAATTCCCGCAGCTCCCTTATGTATCTGTCCCCTCTAGGCTGTAACCCTTGTTATGACCCTTCATGCTTGATTTGGAGGCAAGGAACAAGGAACTTAGCGAAATTAATGAACAGTATTTATACTGTCCATCAATAGAACATTTCCAAGTTCTTATCTGCAAAACATCAAGGGCATATTAAGGGGTTTTTTTTAAGGTAATGAAAGATACACTGTGATCTGATCCAGCATGTGAGTATAGTCTATGAGGAAAATTTCCTTCACGTCATATTTAATAAAGAACTCCCTTCTTTAATATAAAAGATGGGATTCTGATTCCTTTCCAGATTACTAGCATATTTACACAGAAATAGAACATCTATAATCATTACACTTTTCTTTTGATAGACCCCTTCTGGTACAATCCCTAAGAGAAACGTGTGTTTCTATGGAAACTGCAATAAGAAGACCCAACTGCTTTCTTGCTACATCCACAAGCTCTCATTAGACTTAATCTCTTTTTGCTAAAATATTGATTACATGGGAGATTGGAAGTTATTACCAGAGCCTAATTACAATCTCCATATTGGCAAAGGGAAAATAGATGAGGATATATGAGTTTGTTATCAGCTTTTATCAATTTCAATTGAGTATCCAAAGTTGTGGAATCCAGTCCTATCAATCTATAGCCTATTCATCATCCATGAATCATTTACTTTGTGATCGATTATGTGTAATTGTTCACTCACAGCAATTTAGTGAGAGCCAATAAGGAGTCTTAAACAACAGCAACTTCATTTGCTAATGTCTAATTAATGCAATAAACATCCTGCTAACAAATGAACACATTCCATGTGATATTTACTACTAATTTCTTCAGGGGCATCTGGGAGATATGAAACATCTGGACCTGATTCCTCTAAAGTGCACAACAGATAGATCATTAAACTTTGTGCTAAGCCATTTAATTCCTCCCAGAATTCTCAGACTTTTAAATGATCATTTATTACAATAATAGCCTCTTACTATAGTGTTTCCCCAGTCCTGATTAAAAAAATAATACTAATGAAGCCATCTCCTTAGCATACCTTCCGTTGGTCATTAGTCCTCCATCTCCTCTTTGAAACGTAACTATAAAAAAAGAAAAAAAAGGAAGACATGCACGCACAAGTCGTCAATATTAATTACAATTCATAACAACTACATATTGGCCCTTAGTTTAGAGCTGAGGCCTCTGGGAATTTTAACAAAATATAATTAACATAATTGTACAGAGAGTAACAGTGGTTTGGCCCCAAGGCAAAGCCATCATTTGCTCCAATTTTAATAGGACATTTCAAAATTCTTTAAGCCAAATCCAAGGTTACGTTAAAGAACCAATTCGTATTTAAATGTCAAACCTGTTACAATGAGTATATATAGTGATATTGCAAGATCATCGTAACTTTTTGTGAATTTATCAAATCAAGATTTTTAATTTTAAAACAAAGGTGTCCTAATTAGAAGGCATAAGGCAAAACACTCATAATAGAAATCGAAGCAGGGAAGTTCCAACATGTTATGTCCTTCTAATGAAACAAGAAAAACAAATGCTTATTGACTACAGATTTTTCACCATCACAAATCCTTTGATGACCCTCATAAACAGTGATAATTACAACAGACATGAACTATAATTAATAGAGAATAACATGCTCACAAAAATGAATTTTTCAAATAATTGATACTGAATATATTCCTAATTGTATGTAGTGATCAGAAAAGTTGAATCCTCCATATAACTATGGAACTTATTAGCAACACCAGTAAGCATCCACCAGAGCCACAGCCAGTGAATCCAGTGAATCCACTCTCTCCAGTCGATAGTTTCAAGTCTACAAAGCCAACAACATGAAAGTGGATTTTAACGACTGGTCAAAGAACGTTATTATCAGTTCAGGTCCGTCATCCATTGCCCAAACCTCTGCAGCCAAAGGTATCTGGACTCTAAAATGATTCAGAATTGAGAAAGGTAATATACTTTGCATATTACAAAGAGGTTCTAAAACAGTAAACTGTATTCAAAGTTATTTAGTTTTTCTGCAGTGGAATGTGAACATCCATTATTAATAGGATAAAGTCTACAAATAGCTTCACATTAGTTTGGATCACATTTTGCCATTACATTATGGCAAACTAGAAAATTATTTTTAAAAAGAAATGTGGAGTTTAGAAGTGTACAGCTTGCAAAAGTGCAATGAACCTGCAATTCTGACCAAAATTAACATGGATTGGCTAAACCAATCACTGGGGATGAAGGAGAAAAAATACCATTTTCATTGCTGTGCACCCAGTAAACCCTGTCTTTGGAAGGCGTTGACTATATTTACTATGATTTTTTAAATGTGGTAAGTACAGGGGAAAATAAATGAAATTTAATTAGTTGATTCATATTTGTAAGTAAATAGAGGATATATTGCCACTTAATATATACACACAGTGAATACTTCTTAATTTGAATAACTCTCCATAACTCCTCTGTTCTCAAGTTTGGGCTATCAGATATGGTGATGACTCTTTAAATTTTACGAATTTGCAAATGAAGTCCCTCCTTTAAGGTTATCTACTGATAGTATCTCTCATGCTATCAGAATCAGGTAATATGATTATAAACTCCAAGAGTCCTCATGGGACAGTAAAGCATATCGGGGCTCTCAGGAAGTTCTTATTGGTACCTGAAATATACTCTGCCTTATCAGTTGTACATGTAACGTCTCAAACGCATTGCAAAACGATCCTGACATAACCTTAGCATCTGCTCAGCACTGGCTAGAGGCACATGCTCAGAGAAGATGAAAGAATACAAATGCGAAAGGCTCACTGAAGGGCGCGGAATCAGGAATCAGCAGTGCATCTGTCCCACATTGTGCCCCTTTAATAACTGCTTTTAACAAAAAAGAATTAATCTGAAATAATTAATGCAAAAAATTGAGCACTGGAGATATTAAATAAATGCCTGATTAGTACACACGCAATGTGAAAACAGTATAGCTAATTAGCCTTCCATCTGATGTGACTTTCTAGTTTGTGGTTTTTTCTTAATGGACTATCAAGTGATTGTTGTAGTCTGTTAAAAGAGAGTTAAGATAATGGTGTGAATATTATTGTGAATATGCAAATAAGCAGATGCTCATGGGCTACACCTCAAAATGTGCTGTTTAAGAGATATGTGAGAAGCTAAATTGTTTTCCCTAATTTAGATGCTCTTTTGTCCCATTCAAACTTTCTGTTAGTGCCAGAGCAATAAATAATATTAGAGGAAAGGAGGACACCAGAAGCAGAGGGACAAACATTGAGTTGTACTTAACTGTAATACACGAACCAGTGGCAAATTCTTCAGGACATGTAAAGTTTAAAGTATTATAATAGAACACTGAAAACCTTATAAAAAATATATCACGAGGCCGGGCGCGGTGGCTCACGTCTGTAATCCCAGCACTTTGGGAGGCCCAAGGGGTTGGATCACGAGGTCAGGAGTTCAAGACGAGCCTAGCCAAGACAGTGAAACCCCCTCTCTACTAGGAATACAAAAATTAGCCGGGCACGGTGGCAAGTGCCTGTAATTCCAGCTATTCGGAGGCTGAGGTAGGAGAAGTACTTGAACTCTGGGGGCGGAGGTTGCAGTGAGCTGAGATCATGCCAGTGCACTCCAGCCTGGACGACAGAGTGAGACTCTGTCTCAAGACAAAAAAAAAGATATATATATACACACATATATACATATAATGCATTAAAGTTAATTTGCAAACTTGTTAGGGCATGAACACTATAGTATGTATGACCGATATCTGGCAATTGAAAATTAAATGCCGTGAGCAAAATAATTTAAATTTTAAAATATTTCATATTAAGCATTTGGGACAATCTATTTTCTGTTTCTGTTCCCATCACCATTAAAATACGGTTTTCAAATGATTCTAGACTGCCAATAGGGTGTCAAAGTATTCCGTAAAGACATTTATCTCTGTATCTCTGCATATTAACGACACAAGGCAAAACTTCACACTACATTATGTAAGTATTTGATGACCTTAAAAAGGTTCACATATAATTTAGTACAAAATCTAAATGTCCATTTTGTATTATTTCTGTCAGAATTTTTTTTAAAAACTCTTCTCTTAATGGGTTGTTTAGTTGTGTTTTTAAAGAAGAGAAAAAAAGGGAACACTTTTTCAAGTTTCATTTTTTACTTTATGCTGCAAAACTGGTTCTATTTTGAAAAGTAGATCAAAAGGAACTAACTTCTCTTAGATCATGAAGTTTAGGGCAGACTACAAATAACCATGAACAATGAGAACTCCTCAAAGGGAGATCATATCTGGTGTTCTGATCAGTGTTTTGTGTGTGTGCAGAAAGACGAACATACAAATAAAACGCCACAGCAAATTGAAAGCTATTTTGAGGTGGTTCTCATTTCGAAGAAGTGTTTGCCTTGAAGCTGTAAGAAGGGTTGGGTGTGGCCAGACAATCTTGTTCTCATCACAATTTTGATAATCACAGAGTAGTAACTTTGGGCTTATTAGAGATACCTATGGAATAACTGTGACTCTCAATCAGAAGTCTCTGCTAGTATCCAAAAATTAAGAACTTTCAAGGAGTTACATACGGAATATTTTAGCTTACACTAACTTAATAGTATAAGTGCTTAGGTTTCCAAAAAGCTCTGCAGACACCACAATCTAAAATGTTTTTGAAAACGTTTTGAATTTCTTGCAATTTCTGCAACACATACAAGGTAAAGAGATTTTGCAAGGTTATAGCATACAAAAAGTAACTCTAATATGACCTCACAGAATTAATCCTAACCTCGTGCCTGCTACAACTGGGGTAGAAGAGGAGGAAACGTAACTGTGGTAAATCGACATTTTGAGTGAGGAAGCTTTCAGAGCGCCTGTCTTTAGTAGGTCACATTTTCCTACTCCAAATGGAAACTTTACTGTTGCAGCCAAGCCTCATTCCCTTTCCCGATAAGCTATTTCTCAAATATGAATGTAGATTAATCCTTTTTTAATAAGCACTAACTCAGCCCAGATAATCAGAGTATAAAAAATCCATCAAATCTTTTAAGTGCCTTGGATGGTTTTGTCCAATAATTTATATTTCACTGACGATTTTAAGACGTATGTGTGAAGTGTTTAGCATTTCACATAATTTGTTCACTCACATTAAATTGTTTATATTTACTGAGCTTCATAAAATCTGTTATCTTCAGAGTCAGCCATCTATCAGTTAAGTATAAAACTTCTGAAAGGCTTCTCTCTGGCTTGGCCTTATTCCAAAATACCTGAAGGGCACAGCACCTTCTGAGTTAGCAGTTCTTCTACAAGCAGATGAGTATCAATAACAATAAAAAATTGTAATAGGAAAGGTACTATTCTTGTCAAGCTCAATGATCAACATCTATTTTCAAATTAAGTGCATAGGTTGTGCAAAGAATTGCTGTTAAAAAAAGAAGAAAAGTCTCTCTGGTGTGATTTTACTAACAGTATAAACTTACTACCTATGAGAGATATTTTATTTCTAAGGAGTGAGTGAATGAAGAAATATGGAGTATAAGAATGCAACACTCCAAATGTGAATATATTAGAACTTTGCACTGAACTGAACTGACCAGCATAGTCAATTTTTTATTATCATTGCTAACGTCAAGCAAAGGGATAAACACCAAATAGTCCATGAATTAAATCAGTTCTTCCTTATATTTCACATGATTTATACAAGTGTATCACAGAGATGTAATCTAACACAGTGGCTGATTAAACAGAAAGGTTGATGGGCAATGCCTGTAGCAATGAAGGCAGAGAACTGGACTGCATAACAAGAAGGCACATTAAAGTATCATTAATTTTCCAGACTTTGACACTCAGCAGTTACTGCCTAGCACCCCTTTCTGCAAAGAATCCCTCACTGTTGAAGTGATATAGCACTTGGGTGACAAATTATGAGGAAGCAGAGAGGCAGCAACCAATGAGGAATGAGAATGGCAGGATGATGGCATGTCACCAAACATGGAAGCCTCTTGTCAATGGATATGCTGTACTACTTTCTCTGGTCCTGGAAATGTATTCTATCAAGTAACTAATAACATTTTATCTTCATAAGATATAGACACAAGCTACAATGCTATAATCAAATGGTCATAAACATATAAATGCATCAAATAACAAGCAAGGCAACCAAGTCAGTGCTATACTCAGCATTTTGCACTATTTCCACATTCTCAGCAGTTTAGGCACCTACAAGCCACAGCATCTTAAAAGCTTAATAACCAATGACGCCTCTGTCAAAATCAGTTACTAAGACATTTATGCTTCCTACCAAAGTTAATATTAGAAATAGAAGATTGAATGCAATGTCTCAAAAACTTCTTACATATTTGTAAAATCATGTCCAATTAAAATTGGTCCCTTGTGAATTCTAGAAAGTGTAAAATGTTGTGAGATATTTCTTATTGTTATTGGAGAAAATATTTAAAATAAACTGCACTTAAAATTATAATCGAACGTCACTTCAGTATTGAGTTAATTCTGTCAATCACTGACTTTACAATTTTGTGTCTCCTCTCTCTTCTCTCTCTACCATGGAGATATTTTGAAGGCCACGATATAGGACACCCTTGAAACTCTGTCCTGGATTCTAAGAAGAAAACATTGTTGTGAATATGCAGACCATCTAGGGTCTTCTTTTTATTGTTCTGCTTCAGCTTCTTTCTCTTTTTCTTCATTTTCCTTTTCTTTTAAAATACTGCTTGTTTGCATTGTAATAAGAGTCTATGTAAGTGAACAGTAAATCACTTAATTCATGCCTCATCAGTGTTATCAATTCTGGTGAGATTTTTGCTTGTCAGTATTTTTCACGAGGGACATTTCCTATTGTAATCTGCATCCTGACACACTAAAAGCTATATTTCAAAATGTTCTTCTTTCCTGAACATTTAAGTAATGCTCATGCATAAATCCACTTCTCAAACATGGCTTCATAGCATGTAACACATTGTGTGTGTGTGTGTGTGTGTGTGTGTATGTGTGTGTGTGTATCTGTGTGTGTGTGAGTTTATGATTTCAAAGAACTAGTTGAGAAAAACAGTTAAGCATTTTTATCAGTCTGTGCTCTTGTTATGCTTCACTGGAGCTACAAGCAGAATGACTTTGCCTCATGGTTACAAAGTGATATGGTCAAGAGCAATGCATTAAAGCATGTTGAGTGTAATTGCATTTTACAGTGCAGGTTTCTAAAATAAGCCAAAATCACTCATTTGTTATTCCTTTCTGCTCCTTCCATTCATTTCATTACATTCCTACAGATTAAGAGATTTTCTTAGCTGGAAATAGTCACTTACCAGCATAGTTACTGAGTCCCTTCCTCTTCTTTCTTCTCCAATACAACCATATGCTAAAACCCATCAAAATTACCCAGCAGGCACCACCAATACCAGCAATAAAGGCCGGTTGCTTCACCACGTCAGTGATTTGCTCAGTTATGCTGTTATTGTTTTCAGTAATGACAACTTCATTGCGTCTCCCTACGGAAAAAACAATAGTATTAGTATATATTCAAACAAAAATAAGCACAGGAATACAAACATGGTGCATCAAAAATGAAGAAAAATTATTTGAAGGCAGGAAATACTTGTTTTGTTTTGAGCCTATCACAAGTATTGATAAGCATAGTTGATAATTTTCAAAAGAAGAATCAAATCATGAGTTTGAAAATGTGATTAAGAACACTGACCTCTTGTGTTGTGGTTTGCTATGGATGGATTCACAACCACATATTGATTTATCACCTTATAAATTATAAAAATAGTACTAGGAGTTGAATTAATAACTTATCTTGAATTACATACAGTGTTTTTAAATATAGTTTTCATTTTTAAGACAGCAATGACAACTTTTAACATGGGGTGTTTGCAAATTGCCTTTCTGCTGAGGCACTGTCCATATTCAAATGTTTGTAATTCACAAGAACATGTAACTTAATGTTAACTTTAATATTCTACCAAAGAGCTTATTTTGAGCAAATATCCTTTCATTTTCTGGAGAGTATTAAAACTACTATACAAAACAATGACAATTATGTAAACAGCTTTCACAGAGATCAGCATGCATAATTAAAATATGAAAAGATGAAACTCATATATTCCCTTAAAGTATCTGAAACTAATTTGAAAATCCATTTGAAAGCCAAATTTAAAGAACAACTTAAAAATTAACTTTGAGGTCTCCATTACTGAGAAATACATTTAAATCTGGACTCAGATTATTCTAGAACTAGTCATGTTTGGAAAATTTAGACCCCTCAGATAATTAAGAAAATCTCAGTCTGCATTTTGAATCGGTCTTAAACTTGTGGAATCATAAGATTTATGGGCTTATTTAGCAGATTAAGAAATGTAGACGCTGGGAATTAAGTGATTTCTAATGTCAATGTGATGCCTAATTAGTGACTAATCAAAGACTTTTAAAAGGTAAGTGGTAAGCAAAATATAAATGGCACATTTCAGCATACGATATCAAAGGAATGTGTGGGATTTTCCCTGTTTTAGTTATAGCACTGTAATATATTAAAAAGATCATGGTCTTTGAAGTCATGATTTTGATGAAACAACTCTGCCACTTACTAGCCAAGTAAGCAGTAAGCTTAATCTTCCAGAGCCCGTGTCAGTTGGTTGGCACCAGTATTGTCTACTTCATGTATTTTGGGAGGATTGAAGTGGAGGCTAATATGAAGACAGTAGTTTTTGACTCAAAATTATGACCCATGTAAGTTTAAGGGCTGCTTTAAGGACTTCTCAGTCAACCTCAGTGACAGGAGTGATAAATTATCTAGATTTGAGAATCCTGCAGATCTCAATTCACTTGTTTACCTCACTGCTCCTCCTTTCTTCCAAGGCAGAAAATTAGCCTACATTTCCTAGCATCTTTTGCAGTAGAGTTCAAAAAAGTAACTGAGCATTAGCCAGTGGTAACTAGGAACAAAATGTGCACATGACCTTCCAGGCCTGATCCCTAACACTGCCTTGACTTGAAACTCTATTTCCTCATTGGTTGGACAGAAACAGGGGATCTGTTGGAGGATGTTAAGCTTCTAAGACATGGGAGAGCTATGGTTTGAAAGATCCAAAACCCCTGAATAATGACATTGAGTAGAAACTCCATTTCCCATTCTGCTGATCCATATTGGTCTGAGCTGTGAATTAGAAATAAAATTTTGTTAATCTTTTCAAAATACAGGCTTTTTTATCATAGCTGTTAGCATTTCCTTACACATAATCCATTCCTGAAAGGTCTTTTGATTAAATTTCAGACTTAAATACCAACGTCACTTATGTAGTAAATCTGGCTCATTTTCCCACTATGTCTGCCTTTAATTATTATACATGTAAACATAGTCAAAACTGTATTTAAAATGAGCTCATATTTTCCATATGAGACATACACCTATCTGGTGATTTCCTTAACTATTAGGAATTATCAGAAAGAAAACATACCTTATTGAACAGAGAAAAGAAAATTTGGCCTTCATTTTTGTAAACGGTCCACAATATATCATATTTAGTAAGCTGCAATATTTATGTTACTCAAGGTGTATTGCTATTTTTTATGCTGCTGGTATTTTTGAAACAATGTTGTCAGTTGGACTAATTAGAGCATAGACAAGGGATGTGTGTGACCTGTAACGCTCCATTGTTCTTGCAGACAAAAAATATAATGAAATAAAATGTCTTCCTCCCATTGGAGAGTAATGAAGAACAAAACTAATTTGTTGGACTAAAAACTAATTAGACACATCAGATTTGATTGTACCTATTACCGTGAAAGTTTGCAGCTGTTCCACATATTATAACCAACTATGTAATGTAAGCGTGAAAAGCCAAATGATTAGAGAAGCAATAACTGTATTATTAAGCAAAATAACTAAAATGTGTAAGTCAATGTAAATTGGTTATATGACACACGGCTTGATGGATATATATCTGAATGTATTTGATTGCATTTTTGTGTCTGTAAATGCAATGACACAGAATTATGGACACTTTGATGTAAAAGTCACATCCTACCATAGGAAACTGCACAGAAAAGAACAATACCAATGTTAAGCCAGTGTAAGGCAGTGTTTTACATTTTTACAATGTTCTAATTAATGGTCCCTTAATGGAACTTTCTGGAAGGAATGCTAAACTGAGAAGGAATAGATGGAACAATACATGGTCTGGCATAGTACAAATCTAAAGTTCTCAACCATAAATTACATCAAATGCCAATACATGATTTAATTAAAACAAAGGGGAAATGTGGTACAGTTTGAGTCACTTCAAGTGCCATTTCCAGTTCTGAATAGACAATGGGAAAGTGTAAATTGAAACAGAAAAGAAGATTAGCCATCACTAAATCACTTTTCAACCAAGGAATAACAGTTGTGTAGATAAG